TATGATTATTTCACTTCATTCTACTCAAATCATTGATTGCTTACACAAACTCCATAACTATAATATTAGATTCTCGAAAATCTTCAAGGCATCTCCAAGTGTTCTTGAATTAAACACTTCCATTCTTCAACAATCATCTACTGAAATCACTTAAGGTGAGTTCATACCCCTACATTTTCATGTTTTCTCAAGTTTTCAGGGGGGGAATACAAGTTAAAACACCAAGAACATAACTAAAATTTTCTAACAGCCTTCATCAGAAAATTTCAACTCCATTCACGGACTGTTTTGGGCATCTTAAACGTTTGTGTTTTTAAACTGTACAAGGTGCAAATAGTTCAAGTTCTTAGCTTTAAAATGGCTACTTGCACATCTCCATACGATTTTTCTACAATTTATGGTGATTTTTACAAAACTGCCTATCATTTCAAACAACAATCCGGACTAGTCTGTGATTTTGGACTTATTCACCCAAGTTGGAGGTCGTTAAAAATCGTGAAAAAAATTATGAGTAAACTAGACACATTTTGTGAACTCTCAGAATTTACGGATCTAGTTTTCGACTTCGTATGATTTTTCTATGATTTTTCCAAAACAGGGCAGAATGGCTAAAGTTAGCCAACAGCATGTAAATATCATAACACTTTGTATTATGTTGAGCAAAGTGTATAATCATAAGTTCTAATTATTGAATGTGTTTCCTTGTTAGTTTTCATCATGAACTGAAACTAAGTAATTCATAATAAATATTAATCATTCATTTTAGAACACGTATATTAAACTATAAAGGTATAGTTTGATAAATTCATAACACTAATACATTTCCATAAAAAGAGTTCATACATATTACACACATTTTAGATAAACTATAATAGGTATAGTTTATGATACATCACTCAACACACTCGTATAAAAGGGTACATTCATACAAGAAAGATTTATATTCACACACATTTCACGTAAACTTGTTAACCTATATTGTGAGACTCTCTCTCTCCCCGTACGTCCGAGTGCGGGATATAATTCCTGGTAGTTATAATCAGAATCTCCTTGAGGGAGAACGTGATACTTGTATATAGATCTATATTGGGTTTGACACCCCACACCTTGCTGCTAGCTACAGTGGGACCTGCAGGTCTACGGGTGACAAATGTCATTTCATTTTCGCGACGCCTGAGAAACGTTGTGGCAGGTTCACATAGTCACAGTATGATTATAGCGACTCACCTAGGGAGATAACAATTCATAAAGTTTACGGGATTTCATAAAACCTAAGTAGGTTTTAGGTTGATTTAAAAATTTACTTTCCATATCATTTCAAACTCACGACGTTTCTACTAGGTAAGAATGATTTCTTATACATTTTGGTCTTTGGTTATAAGGCTACATTATACGGATTTTAAGGAAAAATATCGGATTTTTCTGAAACAAACGCGACATTTACATGTGAAAGACTTCTACTAAGTTTTATAATAAAAGCTTATGAACTCACCAACCTTTGTGTTGGCACTTTTCAAACAACTTGTATTCTCAGGAAATCACTAAACAGGAAATCAAGTGCTTTTGAGGATGGGACGTTAAGGCGTCAAACTTTTCATATTTTATCAACATATTATAATTGATTTTGAAACATGTAATTCATACAAGTGATTTAACTTTTTCAATTATATATATATTGGTTGTGTTAGCTTAAATTACTATTGAAATTGTGGTTATGATACTATACATGAAGTCCTCCACCCCCGGATGTTTCCGCCATCCTTGGTTTGGGGGTGTGACAGCAGAGTTCTTATGGGATCTACTGTTCTCGCGGTTTTAAACTGCGTTGTGACAAGGAAGGTATCCACACCCCTTTATAAGGAAATGTTTTGTTCTCCTTCCAAGACGATGTAGGATCTGGTGTAACCCACCTTAAGGTGGGTTGCACCTATCCCACATCGGATTGGAATGAGAACTAAGAATTTCCTTATAAGGGGTGTATATACCTTCCGTATCAGAACGTGTTTTAAATCCATTAGGGCAGCAGAGCCCATAAGAACTTTGCAGTTAAGCGTGCTCAGGCGAGAATAATCCAACGATGGGTGACCCCCTAGGAAGTTTTTGCGCCGGGAGCCCAAAGCGGACAATATTGTGATACGTGCCAGATGTGGATATTACAAAAATGGTATCAGAGCTGGGGCACTGGTCGATGTGTTCGACAAGGACGTCAAACCCTATAATAGGGGGTGAAGGTGGGTTGCACTGATCCCACATCGGCTTGGAAGGAGAACTAAGCATCTCTTCATAAGGGGTGTAGATACCTTCCTTGTCACAACATATTTTAAAGATGTGAGGGTAGCAGATCACATAAGAACTCTGTAGTTAAGTGTGCTCGGTCGCGAGTAGTACCGGGATGGGTGACCCCTTGGGAAGGGCTCGTACCAAGTGGCCCAAGCGGACAATATTGTGATACATGCCTGATTCAGAAAGTTCTTACTTGATATTATTTTTCTACATCGAAAGATCTACAATTAATTAAAGTAAAATTTCTAAGCACCATATGGATATATTATGGTTAATCAAGTATGAATTGGTTGCATACAAGTGTGGGAATAAAATTTAAACTGTAATTTTCCACTACCAAACAACATATTGAAGAGGTATGATAATATCTTGAGGTATTTCTCGAAAACTTTTCGGGATTACCACTAGACCACCAAGTGGATTTTCACATTTATTTTATATCGGACATTATACTGATTATAGGGAACATTATCATTTGGCACCAACTGATATGAAAGAGTTAGCGATGAAATTTCAAGATTTACATAAGGTCTTTATCCAGCCTAAGTTCCCTGCATTGGGCTTTTGACATTTTCAAGAAAAACAAGTATGGATCGATATAGATGTGTATTCATTATATAGACCATGACAAGGTAACTGTAAAGAATCAAACCACATGAAAGGATCTACTATATATAATAAATTGCAAATGGTGATTATTCTCAAAATCAACATCTACCCCTATATATATATATATATATATATATATATATATATATATATATATATATATATATATATATATATATATATATATATATATATATAATGTTAAAGGAGATGATATTAAGAAATGGAATTGCACATAAGATACAAACATTTTGAGTTTTTAATGATGGCATTTAGTTTAAAACATATACACTAGATGCATTCATGGATGTTATAACTGGTTTTTATAGACCATTTATTGAAAACTTTGTGATTGTGTTCATTGATTATATACATACATATATATATATATATATATATATATATATATATATATATATATATATATATATATATATATATGTGGTTATGTTTTGTTTTTACTAACTATTGTGTGTCAGAATGCACAGATCTGGACCAACGGATGAAATTAATCAATGGACATGATTTGAGAGTGAATGATATTATAATGAGATATCATGTACCATATAATCACACAAATTTTAGCAAAAGGGTATTTTAGACAATTAACTACAATTATAAAAGGAAATTTTTGTATTTTTAGGGATAATTAATTCTTCTAATTTTAAAATTCTGAATTTTTCTAATTAATTCAATTTTAATTATAACGTAATTTGTAAACATAACCGATTTTATTCTGTCAGAATATTTTTTTTTATAGGATGATGCTCTTTCAAAATTTTATTCTATTATATTATTATTGAAGAATAACAAATTTTTTGAGTCAGGGGTTTAAAAATAACAACATTCTAATATATTCTTATACATCTGAACTTAAACACAAATTCATACATATTGTTACAAACTAAAAGTCTTATACATTTTAATATAATTATACATATTCTAAAAGAATATCAACAAAAATGAATAAAATTCTTAACAAATAACAATATTATTAAAATGTGAATATGATCATTCTTCAAGTTATTCCTATTAGGTCTTCAACGCATTCTTCCAGCCATTCCTATCACATATACAACAAAAACTAAAAATGGTTACAAACATGTTATTTGCAATTAACTATCACTTTATATATTCTGTTAGAATACATAGAATATGAGAGAATACATAGAATATACTCTGGCATAATACATAGAATATATTCTACCAGAATATAACATTCTTTGTTGAATATTCCAACATAATAATATACATGTTGCATGTTAGAACACAAGCAGTAAGCCAACCACCGATCTATCTCAATGCCATTGGCAAGCTGCTACCTCGGGGCTATTATCCCGGGTTGTTCTAAGACTGAGACAGAGAATAATGAATTCGAATATGCTATAATAAGAACACTTATTAAATCCGGATCTATTTTAAACAAGGTGACACCTTTCCGGCAACTACTCCCGGGCAAACTGCAACTACCTTCGAATAGGTTCTTTCTCTAAAGTCAGGGTTCGCATAATCTGATAAAGAAGGAAGGGGATTTATTCTCTTACTCACCGGGTTAGGGTTTTCTCTCTTGTCGAAATGCTAGTTTCATATTAGACTTTCAAGCTGTGGCTACCCGGGTTTTCTTTATATAGCTATCCCGCAACTAATCCTAAAACAGCTTCTGCAGATATAGGATAAATAGAAGATAGAGTGAAAGAAGTCTTTATCTCTGTACCATCCCTCTACAGACTGACTTGAGATAAAGAAGAAAGAGAAAGACTTTCTACGACAACTCCTATTACTACTGGGGTAGCTCCTGAACCTTCTTAAACTTCTTCCCCGGATTTCTTCGAGACTTCAACTTCACTTCTCAATCGTCTAAAAGAAAAGGTGGTCTGTTCCTGGTAAAGGTATTTTTCTATTCACTGGACACCCACTGAAACGACCTTTATAGTTTAGGGCTCAAACGACGGCTCTGTCCTACCTTACTTCTCAACCAAACCAGATTAAGCAAAGCACGCAAAGACGTCCACTGTCTATTCATGTTATTCTTTTTATCCTCGAGCGGCGGTGGGGCCTATTGATTCGGGGAATTCCATCTACAAACCCAAAGTTTATGGCTGACTGATATGGCTCATCATCATTTAGCTATTGCATTTCTTTTTCTTATTGCTGGGCATATGTATAGAACTAATTTTGGGATTGGGCACAGTATGAAAGATCTTTTAAATGCACATATCCCTCCGGGAGGGCGATTGGGACGTGGGCATAAGGGCCTTTATGACACAATTAATAATTCGCTTCATTTTCAATTAGGCCTTGCTCTAGCTTCTTTAGGGGTTATTACTTCTTTGGTAGCTCAACACATGTACTCTTTACCCGCTTATGCATTTATAGCACAAGACTTTACTACTCAAGCTGCATTATATACTCATCACCAATACATTGCAGGATTCATCATGACAGGAGCTTTTGCTCATGGAGCTATATTTTTTATTAGGGATTACAATCCGGAACAGAATGAGGATAATGTATTGGCACGAATGTTAGAACATAAAGAAGCTATCATATCTCATTTAAGTTGGGCCAGCCTCTTTTTGGGTTTCCATACCTTGGGACTTTATGTTCATAATGATGTCATGCTTGCCTTTGGTACTCCGGAGAAGCAAATCTTAATCGAACCTATATTTGCTCAATGGATACAATCTGCTCATGGTAAAACTTCATATGGGTTCGATATACTTTTATCTTCAACGAATGGCCCGGCATTCAATGCGGGTCGAAGCATATGGTTGCCGGGTTGGTTAAATGCTATTAATGAGAATAGTAATTCACTATTCTTAACAATAGGTCCTGGGGACTTTTTGGTTCATCATGCTATTGCTCTGGGTTTACATACAACTACGTTGATCTTAGTAAAAGGTGTGTTAGATGCACGTGGTTCCAAGTTAATGCCAGATAAAAAGGATTTCGGTTATAGTTTTCCGTGCGATGGCCCAGGACGAGGCGGTACTTGTGATATTTCGGCTTGGGACGCATTTTATTTGGCAGTTTTTTGGATGTTAAATACCATTGGATGGGTTACTTTTTATTGGCATTGGAAGCACATTACATTATGGCAGGGTAATGTTTCGCAGTTTAATGAATCTTTCTTTATTTTTATTAAATCATTAAGTTTCATTTCTATGACCTAGCAGATTCTAAAGATATAAATTTGAGAGGAGAACTAAGAGTTCCAAACCAAAAATTTTTGGTTTGACAAATCTTGTATGGAATCAAAATTTTATTATTTCGAGTAATTTTTGATCCAATTTAACAGATCTTTTACATATCTATATTTCTTTTTTATGAAGAGAATATTATTTATAGAAAAAATAGATAATGAATAATAAATAATAATTTGTTTTGAATAATAGATGTCTTTCACATCCAACTATAACAATGATTTTCAAATGGCAGTTCCAAAAAAACGTACTTCTATATCAAAAAAGCGTATTCGTAAAAATATTTGGAAAAGTAAAGGATATTGGGCGGCGTTAAAAGCTTTGTCATTAGGGAAATCTCTTTCTACTGGGAATTCCAAAAGTTTTTTTGTACGACAAACAAATA